GCCCTTTGAAATCCTCACCTCGCCGAGTGCACTCCGCACTCGCCGCACCTGGTAGAAAGCACCCAAGGTCCAGTTTCCCGAATTGGCCGCGACGTAGACATCCGTGAAGGACTCGCGGAGAAGCGGACGTCCGAAGCTGGGGAGCTTCTGGAAGCGCTTTGGAGCATGCAGAGGTTTGTTGAGGATGGAGATTTGCATGCTCTGTCCAAAAGGTTATACCAAAACCAGCTACGTAGCAGTGTGCAAACCAGCTCCAACAAGCCTTGAGCAATGCTAGGTGCTAGGTACGAATAGTCCCTTAGACTCCCAACAGATCTCAAGAAGGCACCTTTCAGGTAAGTCATAATTGAGGTCCAAAGAAACCTATGCGAAACTCATTTGCCATGCAATTTTGGGAACTCGAACTCGATCACCGCGGTTCCTTTCCGGTTCCTTCCCGGTTCACACGACGCCTGTGTCACGTCTGGTTCTGTGATGATGCGCTCGGTCCAGGTGATGATGTCATCCGACCACTCCAGAACCAACTGCGGTCGACACGGTCGTGACAGAGACGTGTCTCGCTGTCTCGATGTGTTTCGATGTGGCGAGCATGTACAGCTTGAAGAATCTAGAAAAGAGATCCGAAAGAACATATGGTTTCTAATAGCAAACATCGTTACTACCAGTAAGGCAATTGTTACTAGTAGCTTCTTGTTAACCAAAAAACGAACTTTTTGAGGTGTTTTTTGCGTTTCTCTTTTCGCGGACTGACACATACTCTCATACACTCTCTTTCATCTCCTGCCTTGCTTGGCACGCAACCGGGTTGCCAGAAGCCCCGGAAGCGCAAGATCGCTGCCTACCAGCCAAGCCATATCGAGCCATATGAATCTTAGGAACACATGGAGCAAATTGCGAACTTGAAAGGGCTAAGACCGGCTAGGACTTTCTCAAGAGCTGAAGTTCGAGGAAAAAAAGGACAGAGAAAGGCCTACAGGTCTAAAGACAAAGAGGGAACAACAAGGAGATATAAGATATAACATGTTGAAAAAAGAACGGACAGAACAAAGTAAATGGCTGACTGGCAATGAACATTTAGGTTGGAGGCCATCACGGTGTCCTCCTGTTTCGGCCTGCTGGCCGATGCCCACATCGATTCCCAGCCATGCATCGAATAAGGTGTCCTCAGTCGGTGGCCACACTCGTGTGCCACGTGTTGAAAACACACCTGGACGCCCTTTGCCAAGACAAGAACACTTGTTACTACTAGCTTATTGTTACTACTAGTAAGGCACTTGTTACTAGTAGCGTGGCACTTGTTACTAGTAGAACACCTGGAAGTATGAAGCCAACAGGCATTACCCAAGTTGCCCTTTCAAAGCCATTTTTTGTTGGGCATAACTTTTGGCCTAAACCAATTCCACTGGCTCCCAACCGAAACTCGAACTGCTTTGATGTCTGGCTGCCGGTACACCTTTGCTTCTTTTAAATGTCTTTTGATGTCTTTCATTCTACCTTCCTTTCCTTTTCCTTCATTTCTTTTCCGCCGTCTTCGTCTTCCGCTTGGTGGTTTCGTTTCTTCCCCTTTCCGAGGCTCCATGAGATACATCGAGGCTTGGCTTCCATCGAAGGCCGCCGCCTTGTCGGCGCCCGCGATCTCCGGCACCTCCACGGCGCTTCGGCGGTTCAGCTGAGAGGATTTGACCGGCTTTTTGGAGAAACACAACAAAAAGACACAACTTTGCAAGGAAACACCTTAAACGTCGTTCCTTTGATTCCGACACGTCCTCCTTTCGCTTCAGCCCCGCCTTGGCCAAGTAGCTGGCGGGAACCACCTTGAGGCCGGTGCGCTCCAAGGGCGACACCTCGGCGTTCGCTTCACGGGAGCTTGACCGCTGCTCGTTCGACTTCGCTTGGACTTATCGATCCAAGCGTTTTGTTCGAAGCGAACCTTGTTACTAAGGCACTTGCTCCAAGTAGCGAGGCACTTGTTCCTAGTAGCGAACCTTGTTCCGGAGCTCCATTTTTGTTTTGTCCATTGTCAAGCTCCGTTGTGTGAGCTCAAGCAACGAAAAGCGGTTCGTGTGTCGGGCCTCATAGAATTCAGCCTCCAAGATGTTGATGGTGTTCTGACCGCAAGCAAAGCCCTGTGGGATACCTGCGCCATTTCCACGCGCTTGCGGCCGAACTGTCCAGCCGCAAGATCGAACGACCAGGATATCTTGCGTTCAGTATGTATTCGTGTAGATTCAACCACAGCCGTTCAGCAGAGAAACGAAATTAGCTGCGAGCGATGCTCGCGATAGCGTGGTTACACTTGGGCCCCCTTTTTGGTGTTTTTCCGCCCGGAAAAACTCACGAAGTTCGGAAAAAACGATTCAAGTCCGAAGGAACGGATGCGCCAGTAGCGATGTGCACTTGCATCTCCATTTCGCAAACACGTGCGAGGTGGGTCCATCGCTTGAGGTATTGGATCCTTAGACATCGCATCGGAAAGGCCGGACATCTTGTGTGCAGGACACATCAAAAAGTGCGGCAACTGAAATGACCAAAGAATATATGTAATATATATATATATGATTATATATATATACTTTCTTTCTCTCTCTCTCTCTACCTCATCTCACTCCTTTCTTCCCTTCTTGTTCGACCACTTTCCTGCTGAGCTACCGTCGTAGGATTATATGGTGGCACGCATGCTGCGCACATGGTCACCACCGGGTAAGAAGTCCCTGGATCCTGCGAGCTCGCGAGATGCTTCCAAGGCAGCGATTTGCTTCTCACACGTTTCTTTGGATATGGGAGACCTACAAATCGCATCTACAAGCGCTCCCTCCAACCTCACCATTCACACCTTCCACATCGCACCAAAACCAAGCTGTTCTCCATCGTTCTCCGGCTGTTTGCGCTTGCAAAACGTCCTGGACGTGTCCAGTGAGTCGCAACTTGGAATCCAGATTGCAGCTCGCGCCCTCGGCGCGAGGGCGGTCGTGCGGGACAAACACCACATGAGCAAAAGGAGCCCTTGTTAGGAGTAAGGACGCTATTAGGGGCTCCTGGCCATACTACTAGGAGCAAGGACGCTACTAGATGTTACTAGTAGTAATGGCCTCCAACCTAGCGCCACATCATCTTTCAATCCTGATCCTCCCGGTCTGAAAACGGCTGATATGCCGACCGACGATGTGAGTCTCCCAGGCACACATGGATACAATGTGAAGATGGGCGCCGCGTGGTCTGGTAGCAAGATTCGATTCGTGGGCGACAGTTCCAAGCCACTTCCAGCCTGACCGGAACGACGGGGAGTCACGAGGAGTCACGTGACTCATGTCGCGCCCGGAGAATCGAAGTCTGAGTGGAATCTGAGTAGTGCGAGAGCTTCTTAGCGTGAGCTATCCTGCGTCCAATAACTCAGTATCGGATTCTAGCCTTACTCAATTAAGTGGGCGCCTACCCATGAAGTGGTACCGGGGTAGAGTGGACTAAAAAGAAGGGAGTCGTCTTCGGACTGGGCCTGGCTCTGGAAGCGCATTTGACCTGTACAGTAGCACGGATCTTGACACGGACACTCGTAGCGGATCGCCACATAAACCACCACGGTGTAGGCCTCGGGGCCAAGACTCAAACGGATCGGCCGTGTTAGAACACTCAATCCCTTTTTCTTGCTATATCTTGTACTTGGCCTTCTATAATGTCAAAAGAAAGGGGATGAACAAGCAAGAGCGAGTAAAAACAAAGCATAGCAGCACAGCCCAATGAACGCAGTTCTTTCCTTAACACTTTTCTTGGCCAAAGTTTCTACACCCGCGCCTGTGCCGGTTGCAAGGCGCACGGGCCAATCACCTCACGCAAATGAGCTCGGCGCATGGAGATTCTCTTCTGAAGGAACAAACGGCTAGGAACAAGGTTCGCTACTAGGAGCAAACGAGCAAGAACGCTACTAGGGGCTCCTGGCCGTACTGCTAGGACCTACTAGGAGCAAGGACGCTACTAGGAACAAAGGGAATGCTACTAGGAGCAAGGACACTATTAGGTTGGACCTGACATCTGCCCGAGTGACCTTGGAACCCGAAGTGAGATCGTATTGGATGTCTCGCTCGCTGCACACGGTACCTGGCAAACTGGACACATCTGAATTCCGGATGCGTTGCAGCAAGACACATGGACACATGCTGAGAGGTGGATTTCCGGAAACAACATGAGACAATCATGGAATTAACATAAGAATTTCCAGAATGGAAGGCCCTTTTAAAGGGGGTCCTATACCCTTATCTTCTTTTCAGTAAAACCATTGGAAAGAATTTGTGCCATTATCAGTAGCACATGATCCCGAACACACTGGGCCGAACTCGTATCCCGAGATCTCGCCAGGGTCGAGCGCCAAGCGGCTCTGAATCAGTGGCCCGAAATCCAACTGGGTGTAGTCCGTGGAGATCTGAGCTCTGGATTCCCCACCTCACTGCAGTCGTTCGTGTTTTCTGATTTAGCCCACGCTTGCTTACTTAAGTAGGCACCGACTTAATGAAGTAAGGGCAGTGGACGTAGGATATCGCTCGCACTCTTGATTTGATTTCTAGATTCACATCTAAAGAAGGGGAGAGGAAAAGCACCACGCCCACCGCAAAAAGAAGACATCAAGAGAAATCAGCAACAAGGAATGGCTCCAAAGTGAAAGGCAGTGGAGGATTCCTGGTTCAAAATGCAGCAATCATTTTGTTTTCATGTTTCCTCCACTGAAATACAAGCGAAAGATCGTCTGTGAAGGAGCAGCTCACTGGCCAAGGGGGGCGGCTTGCGGGACAACCTACTAGCGGATTCCTTGTAATGGTCGGTCTTGAAGGATTGAAAGTAACCGTTGCTGATGTTTGGCTGGTGACGTGCCTGGATTTCAACCTGCCTCGTGCTCTAAACATGCTGAGTGACCCTCAGGCACCACGGCGACATCCACCCGTGCACCGGGGCCGCTCATCTGGCTGTTGATCTGACACGAAGGCGCTCGGTTTGGACTGAATCAAAGCCACCTAAGGCACCGAAGGGGTCTGGTTTCCTTTTACCGGCCCAGCAGTGAACCACCGGCCACCACCGAAGCCACCGTGCTCCCCTCTCTCCCTTCGACCGCCGTTGCGATCGATCGATCCCGATGCAGAGGTCAACTGTAGCTGCTGCGAGTCGTCCGTTTCGTGACGTGTCGTGATGGTCTCCTGTTTCTCGTTTAGATCTAATTTGTCTGTCCCCAATCCCCCCCAAAAAGCTTCAAGGCCTACTAACTGGGTAGGCGCAGTGGCACGCAGTGGCACGCAACATGCCTCCAAATAGGTATTGCCATTGATGTACTGCAGCGCGATCAAGGGATCCTGCCGGAGAACCGAATGTGGTGTGTGGCGTTCACGACGACCTTTGGCTGGTGTTCTTGGATGGTTGGACGTTTGGCACGAAACCAATTGATCTCGAATCCATCTGGACCAATCGATTTGGGAGCCTTTCGTTTTGATTAACACTTTGTGTACATCACTTTTAGGTTGGAGGCCATCGCTCTTAAGCTCATTTTGCTAGTAGGTTGGAGGACTCTTCCGCACACCGCAGCTCGTGACAGCAACACGAACAGTCCGCCCTTTAGTGGTCCGGCCTCGAGGAGAATCATCGAGATGTCCAGGATGCCCAGGCGGCGGCTCACCGTGGCCTATCGAGCTTTTGTTGATTCGTGTCCGACCGTGCCCTTTTTGCTTTTTGCATTTGTTTGATTTACATTGAATTACTAGTAGCGTCCTCGTGTTCCTAGTAGTATGAATGCTCCTAGTAGCGATGCCAGGAGCCCCTAGTAGCGAACCTTGTTACTAGTATCTCCCTTTTTTATTTCCAGTTCATTTTTGGAAGCCCTCTCAAGAGACACCTCTTGGTACTTTCATGAGAACATCATGATCCGAGCGGGCGATTCTTCGGAGTGGAGCCTCGCCATAGGAATTCTTGCAGAAGACCAAGAAGGTGTTGGCGCCCTGTCACAAAGCAAAGCTCCGGACTTCATCCAGGAAAACCCTTCGTGTTGGGAGAAGAATGAGTGGAAAAGAAGTGAAAGAACTGATTGAAACGTTCCAGGATCGTCAGCAACTGTGGAACGAGAGAACGCAACGAAACCTTGTACAAACTTTCCTCAAGCAGTCCGAAAAAAAAGATCACAGCATCGCTTCTCTTGCTCAAGCGACTGGTAGGAGCTGGGTATTGACCAGCACCGAGTACTCATATGCTCCGGTGGCCTCAGGATCGGCCCCTGAGATCTCACGTCGAGTCCAAGACGAGTCCGAGACCCGAGCGTACTCGGTGTCTTGTTCAAGCATCTAACAACAAACTTGTAGCGTCCGATCGCTCCGTTCGTAGCGATGCCAGGAGCCCCTAGTAGCTTCTTGCTCCTAGTAGTAAGGCCAGGAGCCCCTAGTAGCGTCTGATCGCTCCTAATGGCAATCTATATTAGACCCTTCTTGGCCTCCAACCTTCTAGCGATGGCCTCCAACCTACATTACTCAGCGTCCACATTTCTGCCAAGGTGCTGGGATGATGGCAAAGGGTTCACTGCCATCTGGCCAAATGCGACTGAAGCTTCCTTGGTATCTTTCTCAGACCTTTGCCTTTTCCAGTTTCTGATATGACAGTGGTAGAGATCGGCAAAAAGCAACAGATCAAACGTATAGTAGCTGTTTTGAGGTGCTGAATGTCTTGAATGCTCTGATTCTTTGTCTTTGCCTTCAACCTGGCACTTATGGTGATGCATATCCTTTAGATTGACAAGGTCCCAACTCACTGCCTCCTACCAGCATCCCAAGTGTGCAATGAGTTATGTTGGATTGGGACCTCGCTTGTAAGTGAGACTTGTGCTGCCAAAAAGACATCAAAGGCATGAGTAACAAGCATTGACCCCTGCGGCTTTGATCCCTTTGGCTTTACCACAATTTGAATAGCAGCATGCGCAACCGGCAAAGTAAGAGACCAAAGACGGTTCCTCTCTTGAAAGGAAGAAAGACACGGTTGCGCAAGTAAGGGTAGAAGAAGGAATTAAAGACAAAAGCAACATAAATACTTTTTTAAAAACATCATGCCAAGGATCCGTAGTAAAGGTGGTAGTGCGTCACATTCGCTTCAGATGCAGCAGATGTGATGGTCAAAGTGCCATAGACCTGGACATTCGCACACAGGCAATATCAGTCAGTAGGTACTCAGTAGATATTTAGCAAAGAGAAGAATCAAAAAACGGAAAACCCATGAGATTCAAGACATCTGAAGGAATCAGAATCGAACTGGACGTGGTTTCCATCTCGAACTTTCACCAGCTTAGTGTATCGTCTGATTCGGTTGCACGGTCGATCGCCATGTATGTCTTCACACTCGCAACACCACCGAAGACCTGTGCCAAGCATCCTTCCTTTCTGAACAGCAAGCAAACATAAGTTGACAAACAATTTTTGTTTGTTTTTCTGTTTCTTTTTCTTGCGTCTTCCTGCTTTCAGACCGTCTTTTTGAGATCAAACCTCTCCCTTTTCTCCGTTCTCGAAGAATCCGTTCCGCCTTGGCCGCCAAGGGATTGGTATCTTCGAAGGCCAAACCTCGCGCCCTCAGCAGTGGCAGCGTCGTGGGGGTGTCGGGCATGGCTCCGATGAAGGGCACGCGAGCAATCTCACCTGGCCGTGATTTTTTCGAAGGGATGAGCCATCAGCGGAATGAGCTCGTGGAAAGGGATGGGGTTCCAGGTAGAGGTTCCTCATTGAAAGTCTTTGACTTTGAAGTGTGAGAGCTTCTGGCTTGGAATCTTAGCTATGTTAGCTTTACCAAACACATAGAGACTGCTCTTTTTGCACATGGCTATTGAGCCTCCTCCGAATGGCTCTGCCATTGCATCCAAATACAATATAAGCCTTGGCTCTGCCATTGCGCGGGGTCTTGTGGGAGGATCCTTTGTGGACAAAGTGAAGCTTCCTAAAGATCTAGGCACAAAATCAATCACGCAAACTGTCCCGATTAGTTGCCACTTCAGCTTCTGGACCTGCTCCTTCACAAAAAACCCACGTCTTGTCACTTCCTTTGCTTCATCCTCTGGCGTTTTGTGAGTTTTGTTTTCTCGATCACTTTGAACTCCGAGACCAAAACGGGTGCCCAGAAGCGTGTATGCAATACCAGGCTCAAACTCACACTGCACCAAGAAGGGATCAGCGTTGAAGTCCTGTCACAGCTCTGCCAAGCTCTGCTTCAGCCCAATGAGCAGCTAAGCTCCCGCGAAAGGTCTTGAATGTGCATGTCACGTGACATGTCCGTGTCCCTTAGAACGAAACACAAAGAATAAGGTTCCTATCGACCGCGCTGCCGTCGTTCAAGATCTTGAACGTTGGTGGTTCTTGCCCGAGCAAAAGGACACGCCTGCAGGGTGGGCTTTCCAATTGCCCTTTGCGGAGCTTCGCAGAGAGACACCGATGTATAGGCGCCGGTGTAGATCTCCTCTTTCCTGAAGCAGTCGAAAAAATTGGCTACTAGGGGCTCCTGGCCTCGCTACTAGGAACAAGAAGCTACTAGGGGCTCCTCCTGGCCGTACTACTAGGAGCAAGGACGCTACTAGGAGCAAAGGGCACGGCTACTAGGAACTAGGAACAAGAAGCTACTAGGGGCTCCTCCTGGCCGTACTACTAGGAGCAAGGACGCTACTAGGGGCTCCTGGCACGCACGGCTACTAGAAACAAGAAGCTACTAGGGGCTCCTGGCATCGCTACTAGGAACAAGAAGCTACTAGGGGCTCCTGGCATCGCTACTAGGAACAAGAAGCTACTAGGGGCTCCTGGAATCGCTACTAAGTCTTCCAGTTGGCCACCGGAAAATCCCCCCGAACGCGACTAAGCTTAGCTTAGAGCTTGGCTTCGTCACCCCCTCGAGGTGCCGATAGACGACAAAGGCCCAGAACTGTCCGTTGGTCACGCCCTCCACATTCACCTGAAGCGTCAGGCCGCGTGACGGCCGCGTCTTCCGTCTTCCGAAAGGAGCTAAGGAGAGGCCCTCTCGAAAAGACCCGAAAGCGAAAGATCCCTCGAAATCCACAACAGGACCTGGGAGATTCTCTCAGTTTTCCCTATGTAAAGAGTGCATATGTTTTGCATATGTTTTGGCCACATGAGAATGAGATGTCCATGATGCAAATCACATGCGAATTACATCAAAGTGCAGGTATCCGGTGATTCTGCCTGAGTGAGACCTAATGTGAGTCACTAGTGCGCGCAAACACAACAGCCCCGTTGCTCAACATCCATTTTCCTACACCACCCACACCTCTTTCGATGAGCCGAGCCATCGGGCCTCCATGTCTTGCCGCTCAAAAACCCCTCTCCAACCGCCCTCCCGTCACCCGCCTGCAGCGCGGCGCTGGATGCTTGGCCAATGTTGGGTGGAACAACGAAGCCGTTGGACGTGTCGAAGAAGGCCGTCGACGCGTAGGGCCCCGAGCCTGCCGTGAAGGCTGAAGGCCACCCTCTCTTTCTGGAACTTCAGTTTCCCTCAAAAAAGCCTAGTAGCTTCTTGGTACTAGTAGTAAGGATGCTCCGTTCGTAGTACGGCCAGGAGCCCCGTTCGTAGCGTCCGATCGCTCCTAGGAACCAAAGGAAGAGTGCCAGAGCTTCTTCCTTACTCAATTAAGTAGTACTTGCCTACTTAATTAAGTAGGGAGGGGGGAGAAGAGCGGGCGTTTTGCATTGTCTGTCTCGTCTCTTCAGGACGTCTGAAGAGACCTCCACAGTTCTTTTTCACGACTTGGTCCAACCTGAGAACTCAGGACGTTTGGCCCCACCGGGACCCGAACCGCGGACCGCAACGGACCGTGGCGCCTTGTGCGTTGACCGGCGTGGCCAAGATATGCGTCACCGAGGGCTGGACCTCGGGGGCGACCGAAGGTCCAACGCGCGTCTCGAGGTACGCTCTTCACATGGCCAGAAACATGGAGGTTCTCCCCCCTCTGCCCCGAAAAGAAGGAATTTGCAAGCCATGCACATCCTGGAAAAACTGACATATCGGAACCAACCCACGTGCAATGAACAGGCCAAGGCAGAACGTGGGCCCAGCCGCCGGCGGCGGCGGCCAAGCGCGCCGAGCCACGAGCACGGTTTGTTGGAGTTCTTTGTCCGCTCCACCGAGGCATTGGAGGGTCGCCTGATGGTGTGATCGCTGAGAAACGGGCGTGTTCATCCAATGAATCCTCCAATTAAGTCATTGGATGATGTCAACCACTCTTTGGGCATTCTGGCACTCTGACCGTGGCACGTTCCTTCTGACCGACCTCTCTTCGAACCCAAAAAAAAGACACCGTCTTGTTGTGAATCGCCTCTGCATGGAGCATGAAGCGATTTTGGTAGCGGAAATCCAAGATGTCCACGTCCTCACGAATGACTGGGAGTCGTGGCATCGACTCGGCGCCTTTGGGACACCGAATCGCGCTCTTCCGCTTCGACCCTCGTGCTCTTTCTGCGTTTTTGGTTCATGATCACTTGAAGATGCTTTCTCCAAACGTTTCTTGTTTTCACCGGAGTGTTTTTACTGAATGAAACCACACTAGTAACACAGCAGCTTCGTTCTCCCATCTTTCCTCTGAAAGCTTGGCCGTTATGACCACCTCACCATCTCTCAAGAAGGAACCTCAGAAGCGCTGAGTCTTTCCGCTTCGCTTCATACCCCCCAGCCGCCCAGCCGGTGTCGCCACGTTTCCTGGTTGATCTTGGTTTCGATTCGGGGCAGTTCTGATTCACTCAGTTCGGCCTTGTGCAAGTGCAAAGAATGCATCCCAACGGAGGGGAAAAAGAACCATCCCTGGCAGGTTGGAGGCCATCGCTAGTAGGAGCGATCGGACGCTACGAGTACTAGGGCCTGGCTGGCCGGGAAAGCTATCGCTACGGAGCGATCGGACGGAAAAAGAACAAGGACGCTACTAGGGGCTCCTGGCATCGCTACTAGGAACAAGAAGCGAGTAGGGGCTCCAGGCCTTACTAGGAGCTCCTGACGCTACTAGTGACTAGTGGAAGAATCGCTCCAACCGGCGCCCGGTGCACCGACTCGATTCCACATGCGAGGAGCTTCGTAGCACCGACTGGGAGACGTCCAACTTGTCCGCGCAAAGGTAACTGAGGCGACTGAGATGTCCAACGGAAGCTACTAGGAACAAGTGCATCGCTACTAGTAACAAGTGCCTTACTAGTAACTAGAAGCTATTAGAAACATGGATCCAATGATGTAAAGTTCAGTTTGCTTGGAGCGCTGAGCATGGTAAGGAAAAGGGCAAGGAATACAGGGATTGACCTCCAAAAATCCTTCTCGAATGTGACGGATGCATCTCAGAATGAACATGTGCATTTGACCTCTCCATTCGGGCAGAAACAGGACTTTCCAAAGAGATTGCTTTCAGACTTTCACATCTTTCACATCGTGTCCCATTGCTTCTCTGGTGTCGCAGCCACTCAAACGAAGGAGACACGGAGACACTGCCATCGGGCAAGGTGTCTATTGACTTCACCAAGTGGCAAGGTGTCTGGATTGCCATCGGCTTGAGGCCAACATCGCTCCACCACTGTATGCTCATCGATCCTAGAAAGTCCGTCTTTCTGAACAGAATCATGAGAACACGAAAAGAAAGAAAAGACTCTTCCTCTTCCATCTTGGCCTCTTCTAAGGAGCCTTAGTCTTTCTTTTCTTTTTCTCACAAAAACAGCCAGACCACTTCGGTCTCGGGGTCTCGCGGTTTCGCTTCTAATCCGCTCGTCCTGATGTATTCGACGACCTCCTCGGGGCCACTGAAGTCGGTAATGGCCACGCCGTAGGTGAAGAAGCACCGCGCGTCGCCGTTGGTCGGCAAACCGGTCAAGGTCACCGAGGCACTGCACCCGGGGAACTCACACTGCATGAACCTCAGCGGTTCTCCGCGCAGTGCGACAGAGCCAGGGAGTAAGAGGGAGAGGACATGGGAGACCTGAGAAAGGTCGTAAGTGACTCAGTTTTTCTGTTTCGTTTTGGCGAATCTGGGAGGTGCAAATTCATGTCATCACCTAATGATCCGACCCGGAGCTTTTCCAAGGGAATCACTTGGAAGACTCCACCAAAGCTATGCAAAGTCAGCGTTCTCCAAAAAAGCCTGGCACGTATTTGGGATGAAAGAAAGAAACTCGCAACGATATGGCAGTGGATCGACGGGGAAGATCACCGGGGTGAGTTCGTTTTGACCTGCAACCACGGCACCCTGACACCACGACTTCGACGCCGGGATTGACGATCTCGGTGCTCTGCACAGGAATTTGATAGTCTCGATGATAACGGGTCCTTCGTGCTCGTGGAAAAGCGTTCCGGAATCCAAAATCCCACCCAATTGTTAGCGTGAGCTATCCTGCACTCATAATATGTAGAAGCTAACTTCGCCTGGTAGCGAAGTAGTCACCTTACTTAATTCATTCTTCTTCTTCCACGTTTCAAATGTCGAAGCAAAGCGACATGGAATGGACACCTCACATCGAGCCAAAGGTTTTGCTCTTCGCTGAATTGCCAGTGGCGTTCTTCCGATTGGAGGGCTAGTACGTGGAAAACCGTCCACTTCACTCATGTCTACGGGAACTTCACCCGTCCACCCCAAATTCCCTCCACCCGTCCACCCGAACCGGCGTTTGAACGTCCTGGTGCCCAAATGCAAGGCCATCAACTCCTCTTTGCTTAGCATCCGTGAAAAGGCCCAAGCCTGCAACCGAGGTTTTCGGTCACAACCCGGACCACCAGCGCGGGGTGACCTGGTTGGGGTCTCTTGTGTTGACCTCCTTTGGGAAAACCGGTGTCCCGGTCCCACCCACGTTTCCACAGCAGTATCCGAAGCCCCCCAGGTAGGTGCTTACGAAGCCGAAGAGTCACGGTTCCCGATCGGGCGTTCTTCACGGCCCAGGCTCCTAAAGTCCTTAGAACTGATGGAGCAAGGACGCTACTAGGAACAAAGGGCATCGCTACTAGGAGCAAGGACGCTACTAGGGGCCATTTTGATCTTCACAAGTTGTAAGTCTCCATCCAATCATCATCACATCAACTCACCCTCACAGCATCCTCTGTGTTTTGCCGGCTTGGTCGCTCTCACACTCCACATCCGTCGTGCCTGTCCCAAATACATGCTGGGTGCCATCCCGTCCGCCGTCGCGCCCACGGCGCCCCCGATCGCCGTCAGGGTGGAGCCCTCACAGCTCCTAGCATCCGCAAGTTCATGTGGCGAAGTCACGGAGATCGATTGGGAATCTTGTTTCTGACTAGGTGGGAGGCCATCGCTACTAGGGTGGAGGCCATCACTAGTAGAATATATATATATATATCTGCAAACTGACCCGTGTTAGACCACATGTGGGTGCGACACACGGGTGTATTTTTTTCGGATCACTCCCTCTTGCAAGACTGCGAGTCCAGTTCAAGGTACAAGTAGTGCAAGACACAAAGCCGAAGCATCCACCCAAGTTTTCTGAAGAACAAACTGAGGACTTGAAACCAACGTGACCATCTTGCCATCTAACCAACAAATTGATGCTGCAGAAGGAGCCAAGAAAGAACAAAGCGGAAAAAGTTGAGGTCTTTCAAACAAGGTCTTTCGGTCAGCTGCTGATCCCTAAGATACCAACACAGTCTTCTTGCTTTTCAACAAACACTAGAATGATTTCGGTCTCATTCTTATCTTCTTTTTGCTTCATCATCATCATCATCATCATCATCTTCTTCTTCTTCTTCTTCTTCGATCACTTCTCCTTTCAACACGTTCGTCCGGAAAACGAACTGCTCTCTCTCTCTCTCTGCGTTGGACTTCGCTTCCTCTTCACGGAGCCCACGGCGTGGATGCTGCCAGACTTGGGCAGATTCCGCTCGGGGAGCTCCACCAGTGCACAGGACACGGTGGCGATGCCAGTGAGGTACTTGCCGTCTTTGGGATACGCGTCCTCAGCGAGGTGAAAAGAAGAACAGAAGAGGTGAGCGGTTTTTTGGGAGATCTGCGGAAAGGGACGGGACATTTGAGTCATGGTAATTGATGTCAGGTCACTACACTAGCAAGTTACAAGAAGAAGAACCTTTATAACTAGTTGTTAACAAAAAACAGAACATTTTTTTGTTGGACCCACTTTTGTTTGAAAGGCCGGCTTTCAGTTCTGAAGGCTTGGACGATTGTCGCCCACGTCCGTTCGAACCGTTCGCTCCAAGGGTCGACCCACGGGGTGATCGACACGTCCACGCGCAGGGCACGATCAGCGCTGGTGCTCAGAATCCACTCATCGAGATTCCTCGGGCGGGTAAGCTCTGGCACCGAAAGAGGATGCTTTTTTTTTGCTTTCTTCGAAGCAAGAAAAGATTTCTTGGATCGATTTGGATGACCTTCACATACCTTCACCTCTCTTTCATCTTCCTTCTCTCCCATGACCCACCAGACCTCTCTCGACCTGACCTCCCTCAACTTCTCTCCACTTACATAGAATCAACCAACCTAACGAAACTAAGAGCCATGGGCATCCACCCAACCTACCAGCGCTGAGCGCGACGCTTAGGACCCAGGGATCTCTTTGTGCACGCACTTGTAGAGCCGATTGGGCTCGTTGGCGCCGTCCGGGTGACAGTTCCGGCGGATCTCCCGGGAGTTCACTGGAGCGCCGCCACGGACACGGATCAGGTCCTGCGGGTGGTTGGGGGCGCCAGGTTTGCTCCGTTCGTAGCGATGCCAGGAGCCCCGTTTGTAGCGTCCGATCGCTCCAGCTTACGAACGTAGCTCTGAGAAAGAGATATCTGTCATGAAGCATATGACCATGAAAGCATTCATGCAAGATTCACTTGGCGACTCTGGGTAGATTCAGAAGGAACAAACACAGCAAAGCATGAAATCCACAATAATATATCCATGCAAGACTTTGCCTTTTTGGTGAAGAACATTCTCTAGACAAGTTGCTACCACTTCTGGATTGCTGTGGTGCTCATCGTTCACGAAGTCCGTGATCCAAACATCGACGTCCAAAGCGCAGGTTCGCGAAGGATGACGAGGGATATCCCGAAAGATCCTGAGTGAAAGCATCTGGCAGCCACGCAGCTCATCGTACACCCTTCTTTGATCTCTAAGACCTAATAAGACCTTCTTTTAGACCTAAAGACGGAAGACAATTTAAGGGCCACTTTTGGACATGCTGTCTTTCGGTGGACATGCATTCTGTTTCTCCGACGAACCCCTCACACTACTGTCGAACTCTCATTGGTGCCGTGAAAAAAGCCCTGCCCTCTAAAGCTCACCTCACACTCCTGTGCTGCTCAGCAGCACGGTGGTCTGACACCCCGGAGAACTGCAATTGAAGAGTTGCCGGTACTCCACGATTTCCGGTTTCAGAGGCTCCGAGGTGTAGAAGGTCGTGATGCCACCTGACGAACCAGAAAACGACCAAGGTCCGCCAATTTCGGCCACCCACTCGACCTGTGTGGAGCTCCAAGTGATCCTGTGCAAGATTTGAAGAATGATCTGATCTGTGTGTTTTTTTTTCATTTTTCAGCTCGTTCTTCAGCTCAGCACCTCGAATCTCCTCGAACCGATTCTACCCCCCCAACAACCGACGCTACGAGTAACAAGAAGCTACTAGAGGCTCCTGGCATCGCTACTAGGAGCAAGGACGCAACTAGGAGCAAAGGGCATCAAGCTACTAGTAGCAAAGGGCAAGGACGCAACTACTACTAGGGGCTCCTGGCTGTACCGTGCCGCGGCGACGCTGTTGACTTCCTCGGCTCCGCCTTCGGCGACGGCGGCCACCATGGTCCACGCGGACTCGCCGGTGAACGGATCCACCAAAAGGTCTGCACCACTGTCCCAGGCGGCCTTGTGAGGCACGAGCCAGGCCGAGCGCCGCAGGTGGGTCTGGCTAAACCGATGAGGGCATCATGGCAACAAAAGCAACGCAACAAGCAAAAATAGACCAAGGAGATCCACAGAAAGGAACCAACCAGCCAACACCAACCAGAACTGATGGAATGTTGAGCGCTTTTATGAACAGATCTCACCCACCGTCGAATCTCAGCCATGCCCTCTCTCCCGCTCTCCTCGCTGTCGCACGCGCGCATCTTCAAAGCCCAGCGATGGTTTCCAATCGGCGTGCCGATCTCGGCTTCCACCTCTGCCTGGATACCGAAGCAAACTGGACCAAACGGAGAGATGATGTTTTCCATGTTCTCTTTTTGTTTCGTCCCGAGTGAGTCCCAGTGACTCTTGGTGCCCAAAACGCAGAATGCACCAAGAAAGCTGCTCGGTCAATCCACCGATCTGTTCTGATGTGTTTGATGCATGATGCAAGAGCTGGAACTGTTTCTTCCAATGTGAAGGAACGTTCAGAACTGCGGGCCAAGCAACTGTCATGTTGATGGCCTCAGTTGAATGAGGAACTGATGACTTTTTGAAGGTTTTTGGTCTCTTCAAAGATCTTGTGAATTCTTTCTGGACTGCTTCATTCTCAGTTCCATCCTCCAAGCCTCCTCATTCTGAGCTCCTGACACAGCTGCATTGACAGTCCTTCTCCTCATCCTCCATGGTTTGGTTCACCCAGGTCGTGGAGGTCGAGGTGGTGGTGGTGGACCTCGAGGTCGAGGTGCAGATGTCGAAGCGGACTGGTTGGAGCCGATGCGGTTTGGTCAGACTTCGGTTGGGTTTGTTTTGCCAGTTGTCTCATGGTGATTTTTCTTATGAAGATGTAGAGATACCACTGGATACTACAGTAGATGCATGTAAATGATGAAAGCATAGATGTAAGAATGGATGACTCTTGCATCCAAGTAAGGACCTTCCTGTTGCCGTATCGTATGTGGCTGCCGGGCTATCCAACTCTTTCCAATGCCACCACGAGGACGTGCCATGACCTGTGTAGCAGCAATGGTGCTGAGAGCTGTTGCCTTGGAGAAGCTGTCCTTCATCGTCTCTAGATTTCACCGTTTTATAAGCCTCTATGACCCAAGAAATTGACAAATCAAAAACAGCTTAAAAGGTCTGAAAGCAAAAACCAAAAGGCCTGAAGAGAAAAGCACAGAGCATAACAAGAAACATGATTCATGATTGTTTTCATCATGATGTCATGGCAACTTGGCAAGTCCATCCGGATTTCGTTCCAAAGTTTCTTACAAGACCTCATGATTGCCAAGAAACACAAGAATTCGCCACCACAAAAGGCAGGAGTCGCATCGATCTCTGCACGTTGAACCAGCTGCAAGCAAGGCTCTTGATTGCCTGATAGATTTCGCAATCTCACTCAACACATCCAACCTCCTTCTCACGCCTCCTGTCATGGACTCTCCCTCTCCCAACTTCCACGCCTGTGAGGCCGATAGCATCGAAGAGTTGCAATGTGGCGGCGTCCGAGGCGTTGGCGAAGATGAAGTTCGGGATGTTGACCCAAGCGACCAAGGTGTAGTTCGAGGACAACATCCTCGGTACTTTCCAGGAAGATGAAGAAAGAACGAAGTGTCTGCCACTTGCTTTTCCCGAACCCCCATGCGAGGAACCCGATGGTGACAGTCGCTTTGATGTTTTTGAAGACGTGGAAAAAGGACAATTGCTTTGGCGTTGCCACACATCTGCACAGAAACAGTTGGGAGATGTTGGGAGGAATGGATGATTGGTGCTATCGGCTATCATGTGGCATAGAGATCCAAGTGCAGCAAAACAGGATAGTTGGTGTGGGCGTTGGTGGCCGTGTGTGCGGAATCAAGCCTTCTTCATAGTTGCAGAAGAACAACTCTTCTGTTTTGGTCAAAGAATGACTGGTGCTGGACCAAGGAATCAGGGAATGAGCAATAGAAATTCTTTCCAAATTTATCCTCTCATTCCCACTCATGGAAGAAGGAATAACCAACCTGCTACAGTAGATGGACCAAATATTTAAACCCCTCAGTCGATGACTGTCACCAATCCCGGACCCCCAAAGGTCAATATTGAAAACGACTTCATTGAATTTGTGTTGCCAGGGTTTGATTTGTTTCGTCCATTCGCCGAAACACTCTGGCAGGCTCACTAACTTTGAGTTTTGGGCTTCCAAGCGGTGTTTGAAGGGATTGAGTATTTCGTCCATCTACGGTCCTACTAGGGATGACTGATGCCTACTCAGAAATAACCAACTACTTCATCACTTCTTCGGCCCAGCATCGTTGGAGGAAGCTGAAAGTGCCCGTCGCCCGTGAGGGTCCAGGCCTTTCCGCTGGCATCCGGCACCACGGAACCTGGCGGGAAGGAAGGGATGTATATTGTTACTACTAGTAAGGCACTTGTTACTACTAGTAAAGCACTTTGTTACTAGAAGCAAACATTGTTACTAGTAGTAAGGCACTTGTTACTAGTAGCGTGGCACTTGTTTCTACTAGCGTCCTTGTTACTATGATGTATTGCTTTCGATGAAGAATCTGGTCTTCCAAAGTTCTCATCCAAGTGGACCATCTGTTGCACCCAGACACGACCCCGTCGGCCGTGGGGTTGCATCAAACACCAAAAGCCACCCCCCGCCCCGGAACCGGATCACTTTGACTGCGTCTTTGCGGATCACTTTCTTCCGCCTGAAACGGTGGCAGCCCCTGTGTCGTTCATGCTCAGGTCCAAGGAGATCACACTGTCACCTCGGAGGAAAAAAGAATTGAAAAGGCCATGCGGCAGGCCATCACACAGCCTTCAGAGCTCTTCGAAGCTGAACCTATGGCTTTCTGCTATCCTTTCTATGATTTAAAAAACAGCATCTCGTTTTCTTCCAAACTGGTACTTGGAACATCTCTATAGTCTCAACACCTCTGAAGATGCCGGCAGAACCCCCCCGCGATGAAACAGCACGGAACCTGCCGGGTTCCTGAGACCCCCCCAACCACCGAACGGGACGTTCGTGCGTTCGACCTCCGAAGCGATATGCCCTCACGACGCGCCGCACGAGTGACTCGATCTCGCTCTCTCCAAGTGGCTGGGCACGGAGGCGTGGAGGTTCCATTCACAGTAGCCGGTGGTCCTCACTTCCTGGCGACCCAACGTGCGGCACACGTCCCGGAGATGGGGAGAGACCCACATGGCGGCACTGGCCGGCGCGGTAGGCGGTGGGGGGGTTTGAAAGATGGGCTGTAACAGCTGTTTGCTTTGAGAGGACAAGCTCCTGATACCTGTTTACTGGGTACCTCTACTCTACAACCTAGTCAACTGATCCCTACATCGCCACCTGTCTGCAGAACCACAGGTCCGTTCAAAAAGCTGATTCAAAGGATTGCCTTCTCGTTGATCTTGAAGTCCAACACCATGGAATCGCAGAACTTCCCCACATGCGGTGCACGCCTTAAGAACAGGAGTTCCACGCCTTTCGAACCACATCTCAGCGGGTGAACCTCTCAAGTCTGAAGCTAAGACAGCTATAGACAGCTATAGACAGCTAAGACAGCTATAGACAGCTAAGAGCGTGCGGGTTCCCGGGGAGATGCTGATATTGTCCCCCACGTCAGCAGTCTCGATCGCTCTTGGTCAGGTGAGGGGCCACATGGTGTCTTGGACAGGCGCCAGGATTCCATCAGGCCCCACGCTATCGCTCTGTGTGGGAACCTGCAAACGAGCGCCGGTCGGTCGTCAGCCGGTGCGGAGTAGAGGACACCTGGAAACGATGGGAAACGATCCTTTGGGACCAAAAGGTGCAGGGTGGGTCTTTTTGCCTATGCGGGTTGAGAAGCAAAGGAAAGGACTTCTGAGCAAAGAAGGATGGTTCTGGTTCGCAAAGCCATCAAAATGGCGGTCATGGAGTCATGGGTTTCGAGACGCATGCTGAGCATCAAAGCCGTCCGTCGGTAAGACTTTCCAAGAAGCCACATCTACATCGGCGGTATCCCCATCTCTCCTTCAATCCCCCAACTCTTCTGCCTTAAACTTCAAGCCTTCAAACCCGCTTTTCTCCGGTACTTCGCTTTCGCCTTTCTCTCGTCTCCCGCTGCGCGGCCGCGGCCTGGCAGAGACAGTCGTGCGCCTCGGAGTTCATCAGCCGACTCTCCACGGTGCCGTTGAAGATCCGATCCTTTCGGTGCCGGGAGCGAGGATGGATGCTGCTACGAACGGAGCAAAGGGCCTTTCTACGAACGGAGCAAAGGGCAGAACGAAGAAAATATGGCCAAAAAAGAAGACGAAGAGATGAAAGAGGGCTGACTAGGGACTGAGGCCATCGCTACTAGGGTGGGAGGCCAGCTTTTCTAGACCTTGATCTGTACTTGTTCTCACCATAAGTGAGTCTCCCAACTTTCCACACACCATCTTTCCTTCACTGCCGCACGCACACAAAGACACACACACACACAGAGACACATTCGCGGGTGCCGTGGCCCTTCTCCTGCAAGGACCAAAGGCAATCGTCCTCTGTCTCTCGGATGTAGGCTCTCCATGGTTGCCAGAAGGGATCATCTGCGATCGGAGAAAGAGGGAAGGATGAGGAGGATGAGGAGTTCTTGTGAAACAGTGCTTCTTTAGGGCCCTGGAGATGCTTTGGCAGTTTTTGAGATGGCTGGTGGACGGAATCACAGGGATGTGAGAACGGTCAAACGGATCTGTCACTAGGTTCAACTGAGGATTCTGTCTCCATTCGAGTTCAAGATGTGCCCAGCAAACCCGAGGTTTTATCGAAGGAGAGAAGAACCACTTGTCGCCAAGGGGGGAGGATCAGAAGCACCACTCGTCACTGGTGGGGAAAGGCAAATATCTGGATCGACTGTCGCAGTTGGAGGCTTGAAGTCTTCGTTCCTGTCGATGCAAGTCTTCCATCTGAAAGCATGACGTTCTTCCCTTTTCTTCCCCCAAACTCGGTCTGCTCCAAGCAGCTGGTCGTTGCGACTCGACAAGCCTCGAACCCCCAAGAAATCGATCGACTCGCCAAGTGCTTTTTTCGATCTCGCCGTTCGGGTCGACACCGTCAGAGCATTTCGCCCGTCGCCCGTCACACATGAAGTCGCCGTCGCTTGGGCTTCAACAACTGCGCCGCGTCGGAGTGATTCTCTCCCACCGCCAAGGAGAAGGCGGTGGCACCATGGACGGTCTTCACTTTGGGATCGGCACCAAAGTCTAAGAGCAAACGCACCAGCGAGCCTTAGAGTTTCGTCACAAGGGACGCTCTTAGCTTCGCGACTCGAACGGGAGCAAGGACGCTACTAGGGGCGCTCCTGGCATTACTACTCGGAACAAGGACGCTACTAGTAGCATCCTTGCTCCCAGTAGCCATGCCAGGAGCCCCTAGTAGCGTTCTTGTTCCTACCCCCGCCCCCGCGCGCGCGAAAAGGTCCTAGTAGATTCCTTTGCTAGTAATTTACATATTGTTTCTACATCCCCCTTACCTTGGCCCTTGCCGTGTGAATTCTGCAACTTATAAACAAAATGTGCTATAAAATGTAACTACCAGCTCTTTTTTTATAGAATGAGATACCGACCTTTTTATGAAATGGCCGAACCAGCAGCCAGAAAAAAGGCAGGCAACAAACTGGAGGAGAGATCAAACACAAGAGTTTTTACAAAATGACATAACCAAACACACAAGATCTAATCACATGCCATCGGAAGCTCAAATTCCAGCTTTTATGAAGTGACTTACCCGAAGTCTGAAGGATTCCTTTTTCCATGACTTGCGTCGGAGTTTGATCAACTGTATTGCTCCAGAGCTCTTGCTGGAAATGTAGCCTCAGATTCTGTGGTAGAATCTTCTAACCCCATCTCACCCCAATCACCTCAAGGTGAACATCCCGAAGCATCCCGAAGCTTCAAATCTACACCAGCTTGGAAAAGAGCTTGCCGTTGCCGAATTTTGCATCATGGCACTCAGCAATCAACGTCATGTATGCCTTGCGGTCTGGCTTGGTACCCTGGAGCTGCTTGAAGATTGCTGAAATATCCTGATGGACAAGACGCCCGAATCTCTCTGCATTCCGGGTCTGGAAAAAGCGGCTTTGAAAAAGGAATGGGACGTCTTCAATGAACCGCTTCCAGTCATAGTCCTTGCGATCCTTGAGAAGGCATTTCTGGGTCACTTTGTCGAAGCACGGGTTTGCTGAGAATCGGAAACTCTCTATCTCACCGGCCTTCATGATCGTGTTGCGGATGACTCGGCGACCTGGAATGCTGCGTCGGAACTCCTCGGGCATTGGCAGCCCGTCTGTTCCTGTCGAAACAGCCTTCTTTGATTTCCGCACAGATGCCACAGACCACAACTTGCCCTTGAGTTTGCCTTTGCCCGCACGTTTCTTGCGTTTGCCACTGCCCCTCTGTCCATCTGGAAGATCAGGAACATCTAGCGCTTGAATCTGAGTAATGGCAGACATGGATTGATCTGTCAAAACAATTTTTCCTGCATCCACGTTGGTCGCATCCTGGTTCACGTCCAAGATTGCTAACAAGTGCTCGGAACCGTACATCCACGTCCTGCTCGATGGCACCAGCACATTCCCTTCTTGCTGATCTGCCTCTCCACCCGTCAGGATGGTGGCACGGAATGTCTTGAGGCATGACACTGCAACTTCCTGTGAACAAGGCCTGGACTTCTTTGCGCGTGGCCATACAGTATGAACCAAAGCCGGCGCTGGCAGAATAGTGGGACCAAGATTCAGCACAACCACTTTGCCAATCCTGAGTATGTTTTTGTCTGTTCACAGTTTATAAAATGCACAGCTCAGGAACACAACCCTCAAGAATGCTTGAACCACACCCATAGAGCATTCTGTAAAACAGTATTTATTGTGAAATCTTTGAACGTCTGCTGTGAAGGAGTGTTTATAAAATGCCTGGCTCAGGAACACAAGCCCAAGAATGTTCCAACCACACCCAAGATGCATTTCATAAAAAAATATATCTAAAACATTCAAAAATATTGTTGTAAGAACTTTAAAGGTTTGTTATTTATAAAATGACTCCCTGCAGCCAAAATCACCTTTTCTCGTCAGGAACTCATGACCCCAGACTTCATAAACTGATTTCACAGTTCAAAGTTGAAGCATATTGAAATCAGATGAATCACAAACACTCAAATCAAATAAAACCCCCATGGATCCAAAAGGTATCAAAAGGATTCAACAGGTTAATCAAAGGCTAGGGTCTGGAGCTTCTCTGGAGCGCTCAATCCAACCTTCTCCCGCACATCCTTCGAGTGTTGGATCCATTTAGAGACTCGAGATCCTCTCTGGCCAGCCAACATTTCATCTTCATCTGCCCTGATCTCTTGTAGCTGGTGCTCCAAAGACCTAGTGGTTGCAAAATTGAGATACTTAAGAACAAATACAAACTATATCAAACTATATACTTGTAGCAAACACCCAGGTGAGTCATTGCAGTAAAAGCAAAAAATGCACACCCGATTCCAAACCAGGTACTGGTGCCAGTTCAATGCCCTGCTGCGCTTTCGGACCTGCTCTGCTTTAGACAAATATAAATTGTCCAAGCCGTGATTCCCACACCGGAGGTGCACGCTCAACTTCCAGAGTCCACACCAGAAGTTGCTCTGCGAGATCGCCTGTACAAAAACTACAGCACTGTGCCGACAGGTATGTTTATGAAATGGCCTTTCAGCTACCCCCAAAAAATACATCAACAGTTTCACTCTGATTCGGCATTTCATAAAACCCCTCCTCCTCCAAGGTCTTGGGGTAAGGCAGCGGGGCATCATCTGAAGGCGAATCTGCACAGGTTGTCAGATTGATCAAATCCTCACCATCTGGAAGCAATCTGTCAGGATCCACAGGCTGTGGGGCTTCTCCATCTCCATCGCTGTTCTCATCATCAGCATACTCTTCCTGGGCCACTGACTCAATCTGGGTCAAGACATGCTGGAACTCATTGTGCTCTGCCTTCATGGCCTCCTCGCATTCAACCTCCATGTAAGCATGCTCAAGGAGATCAACCTCTCTGGTTTCCTCCTCGTAGGTGAAAAAGTCACCCACCGACTCCTTCCGATACAGGGCTTCCAAATCTTGTGTCTCAATTCCGGAGCATTTGCTGACCAGAAGCAACGCTGCTGCCAAAGCCTTTTTGGCACATGCCTTCATCCTTATTTGCAAGAAATACACCCAAAGGATTGCAAAGGATCCCAAAGGAAATAAAATTGATGCATGCATACAGGGTGAACACGTGTCTTTTAATATTTCTATAAAGTGCCTCTCATGTTTATAAAATGCCTTTCACATACAAAAGAAATGATATTTAAATGAAAGATCTATATACATCATTTCATAAATACCTACATCTGGAATCATCTGGAACATCATCAATTATTTCATATTATTCCTATATACCTACCAAAACTATCCAAAACTCAAATAAACATATATATATAAATTATATAAACACATATAAACACTATTGAAAACAAAAAACATAATTAAAAAAAACATACAAAAACAACAACTACTCAATCTTGTCCAAATGTCTCTGTTGTTGACAACGGGGCCTCCACCAGAGGATGTCGCTGGCTGGAATGTTTTGCGCTCTTGGCCTTTTCCAGCTTCCGCACTAGACGTGCGCCCGCGTTCCAGTATGCCCTTGCAGACATTTCGCTGGAAGCGTATTGTCCACGAAGCTGCCCGAAGAAGCGTTCGATGTGGATTTCATTCAATCCATGGGGCTGTCTGAATACGTCCCAGGCCTCTGGCTTTCCAGCACATATCAGGGATGTAGTTAAGGCGATGCTCTGAAGGTTCTTCCTGGTGACGGGAGCGATCTGCATCCGGCCTCTTCCAACTTTCTGCTCAATCTCTCTTTGTCTTCCCACCAGAGACCAAAGGTCCCACAGCAGAAATCCTGAAAGCGCATTCTCCACTCTCTGCGAGAGTGACATGCTTCCATGCACGCTTGGTGCCTGGATGGGTGTTTATAAAATGACAAAACACTAGATTTCATGAAATTATAGGTATTGTCTACCCAGTGAACTCATTTTATAAAAGGTTGTCCCCTTTGAAAGTCTCCAATCATATTGCACAAGCATCTAAATGTCCCAAATCACATCCAAAAATTTGATCAAAATAATTCAAAATAGATCAAAAAAGAATCAAATAGACTCAACAAAATTGAGAAACCACACTCAGGGCGGTGGTCACATTCCATAGCAGAACTCCCTTGAGGTGCCAGGGGATGCAAACATCATCAATCTCTGCCACTCCGAGAACCTCGCAGATGGCGGAAGACACCATGCAAAGAAATGCAAAGAACATGAAGGGACACAGGACATCACAAGACCAACAAAAAACGAACAAATTTAAACCTAATCATTGAAAGCCAGCAGAGTATAGCAGAGTGACCTCATTTGGAATGAGATACATGGGTGATGAAAGGAGTGCGGTCAGGCGATCGCTCATGCCATCCTTTCTGTTGAACGCAGGGAGCGGCAAATCATTGGCCAGCATGCCTGAGCAGTCTGTCATGAATTTCCCGAAGAACACCACTTTGCCCTCTGCACAAATCTGCGCTGCTGTGTTCTTTAATGCATGGGATGGTCCCTGCATTGCAAAAATCTGATCCTGGTCGAAGAAACAGGATTTGATTGGGCATCTGGGCAGCACTGAAAGACCTGGGCGCTCACCAAAGGTCAACTTCGAGAAGAACTTCAAGTCCATGACGCTACGTCGATGATGCGCATCCAGCTGGCCAAAAATGATGCTCTTCAAGAGTTGGTTGCAAGCCTCGCCATCGAAGAGGAAAACTCGGACGTAGTCTTGGCAACGATGGAGCAACTCATCCATCATGCGCACAATCTCCTGATCCAGCCACACAGTGTCAAAGCCAAATGTATCAAAAGTTGCAAACCGGGTCTAAATTGACCACAAATCTACATAGAGGATCATAGAGGATCATAGAGGAAACATAAAGACTCCCAAAAGATCCCAAAAGCAAAACTTACCAAACAATCAAAGCATCCCATGAGCTCCCAGACTCTGCACTGTTCAACCATTTGAGGGACAAAGGTAGAGACAATACACTCCGCGGCTTCACTGAGCTGCTGCTTGGATCCCAGAGTAGGAATTCCATCCTTAAATCAGCTTGAAAGTTCTCTTGGAGGGCTTTAAAACTTTATGAATTGCCTCTCCCATCCACTTTCAGCAAAGACAGAGGCCGTGTGCTGGGGTCAACCCACTGTATAAAAAATACACGCTTTCCAATGAGAGAATGTTGAGATTCTTTTGCATTATGTTTCTGTGGAAACTCAAAGAAGAAATACCAAGCTTGATTTATACAATGCCTTCCCCATACATATTTGGCAAAAAGAAAGGCATCCTACTGGGGTCAACCCATTCTATAAACAAATCCCCAGCATCCTCCAGCTACAAACAAACATGTCAGTAGGCCAAAAACGGCTGAGACAACAATGAGTTCAATAGTTATAGATAAATTAATTGACTGACCGGGTAACATTCTGTTGGCTTTGGTCTTCTCGTGCATCCCACTCCCTCTCTCCAAATCCACCTTTTGGAAGCTTCCAGGGGAAAGGCTGCCAATGTCACTCATCTGGAATGGCCCCCCGACCATCCCACGCTTTCCATGCAGTTTGCAAGCGCAATGCAAAGGCTGCAAATAGGTGGAATCAAAGCAGAGAACGAATCTGCGTCGTGACGTGAAGTTTGGAGCCCGACTTGTTGCACTGTCAATCAAAGTCACATTCTGTTCTGTGACCTCGGGAAACAGGAGTGCCAATGCTGGATTGGGCAGTCCTTGCTCCAGCAAGGTGTCCAATCTGGAGTACGTTCTCAAGATCATGCTCTTGGAAAATCCAAGGGTTTTCATGAGATCTGCACTTGCCCCGTTGCAAGCCAAGAGGACTGCTGCCTCGTTGATGACACCTGCCTCCACGTCCGTCATTTTTCTCATTCGATGATTCTCTATGCCTTTCTCTTGCTTCTCTTGCATGTCGATACATTTCAGCAGAATGCCCAGCGCAGCTGGGTGCCCCATCAAACGGCCCGAGCTGACAGCTTTGACAATGCGGCAGTGGACCTGGCTAATTTCTGAAAGCTCTCCTGATGCCAATTGGGATGTATAGAAGTGGGCCAATTGACGGAGCTCACCCTGGCACTCCTCGACATTGACCAGCAGCGTTGGCTTCACGATCGACTGGACGAAAGCTTGCAATCTCAGTTTTACGAGCAGTGTGGATGTTGAAAAGGACAGGTACTGCTCTGCTTACAGATTGTGGTATTGGCACAGAACACGAGATATTTATGGAATGATATATCTAAAACACTGCAAGATGTTCTTGATACAACATGCCGTGATGGCATTTCATAAAGCGCTCCAAACAAATCACTGATGAATTTTTGATCTGTGTAACCTTGTCCACCATTTTTATGAAATGACATATTCCAAACCCTGCTCTATGTTGTTGATACAGAATGCAGTGCTAGCATTTCATAAACTAAACTGCTCCAAGCAACTCATCAGTGAAGCAGTCCTTGGAAACCTTGAGCCATGCTTGTCGAACCCACTTCTGGAGTTGAGCGTCAGTCTGCTTGAGAATCTCGTCCCCTCGCTTTTGGTTGTACCGGTAAAGGGCTGTCTTGCGAAACTCTTGCTGAATCTCTTCCCTGGCTTCATCAGATTTGAAGAGCCTAGCCTGCAAAATCCGGGCAGCCCAGTGTTTCAAAGCAAAACGGATTGCGCTCTTGAGGGATGCTTGGACCAACTGGTTCTTTTGACACATGGTGCAAATGAATCTTCCTTGACCATCAGTCTCACCAGTGACCTTTTCACATTCCTCGTGGTGAACCTTCACCTCCTGTTCAGCAATGCTATAAACATAGCTGTGCTTCGTAAAGCTTTTTGCGAGCTTGGTGAACCTGGCCCAGAGCAAGAACTCATTGGCAAAGGCCCCAGAGCGCGACGATTCACCATGTGTCGGTGACAAGCCCTGACACGCAGACATGTTTTGAACATCATGCTGACCCTGCTGAATTGGTGGATGTTCAGACAGAGCTGCTGCTGCTCTGGCAGCTGCAGCTATGTGCGTGACTGCCTTGAGGTGTTGTCGTACGAAATTGTCTACCACTTTCTTGCGAGGGGCACTTCCTTCGAAGACCCTGCCCAATGGTTGCGCGTGGGACTTGCGCAAGAGACAGCGAATGGGAAAGCGACGGTCACACGTGTTTGGCGGCAAAAGCTCCAGGTATGGACACCGATTGACTGTGACAAAAGGATCTTCCTCAGCCTCCATGTTCTCCTCAAGGTTCTCCTCCTCATCTTTCATGTTCAACTCCTGGTAGACCCAATGCATAAACCCCCCCCGGCATTTTTATGAAATGATGAACATATATGATTTCAAGCCTTTCCATGGAATCCATCACAAAACACTCTCTTTATAAAAAATCTAATATAAAGAAGTCCGATTCTCAGCTCCTGCATGTCTTTCTCAAATCCTTCTGCGGGGTCTACGAAAAGCACCATCTGCAGGTTCTGCGGGTCTAGTGGATCCAATGCTCTGCTCTGGTCTGGTTCAATTGGCACAGGGGTCGATTTCTCAACTTCAATGTCATCCAGAAAAGTGGCAGCGCTCACCTTCCGCAGCTGCGAGATTCCAGGGGAATCTGGATACTTTTCTTTGTCTACTGCTTCCTCCAAAGACATCTTCAACTCCTCCAAAGAAGCTGACTGGGCCTTGAGCATGGCCAAACAGGTTGTGCAGGAAGGCTCCTCCAGCTCCATGAGTGATGCATGTAGGTTTGTCAATGACTTGCACTCATGAGCACCTGGTAAGCCGAGCCGCCGATGATACTTTTGGCAGAAAGGCCACGTGATTCCCTTGGAAGCGAGATATGCTTTTACTGCAGCAAGCTTTCGTTCCTCTGCAGTCTTCACTTTGCTCTTGCATGTTCTTTGTCGTTTCTTTTTCTGTTTGCCCTCTGCCTCTGCTGTCTCTTCACCTTTGGCTTTATCTTCTTCGTTTCTCTCGTCTTTTGGTTTCTTTTTGATGTCTGTCCTCTTGCTCTGTCTGCCTTCATCCAAAGGAAACTCGTTCTCCATTTTTGTCTGAAATGCTTGTCTTGAACTGTTCACTTTTGCGTCTTCCTTCTCTTTTTTGGGAGGCATGACCTGACCATCACCCTCAGCTGCCTCAGCTGCAGGCAACTTGGCACGCTTCTGTGAAGCAGATGGGATGTCAATTTCGCTTCTCTTCTTCTTCTTTAGATCTATAGCTCCTTCCTGATTGCCCACCACCTCCAGCCTGTGATGTGCCTCGGGAGCCTTTTCTGGTGTAAGCAAGTCAATGTGTATTGTTGGCTGTGGCCTCCTCTTGGATGGAGTTTTGAGCATTTCTGACTTCACTGATGTCTGACTGTGACTCAGGTTCTGTTCTTCTTCTCTAGTCTGAGGCACCTCTGGCTGCTCCGGGTCAAAGGAAAGCTCTTCGTAGAAGCGCTGCCATTGTGGTTTTTTGGACACTGACTTCCACAGCTGAACAAGATCTTCCCGAATCTGCTGGCAAGCCTCTTTGCACGCTTTGTCATGGAAACTGATGAAAGGATCTTTGCGCATGAGAGAAAGCAATGACCAACAAGCACAATCTCCATCTGCTGGGACATCTTTCACTACATAGCCACTGGCAAACAACCACCCCTGGAGTTTCTGGAAATTCTCGGCTATGTGCAACTGACTCTCGATGCTCTCGATCATGCCCTTCCCGAATCCTTTGTGGGAGTCTAGAGACTCCTCAGCCCTCTTCAACAATTGTCGAAGAGAGGAAATGTGGCAAGAAGTGGCAGCAGCAAGCTTTTGGTATGTGTCCTTTCTCAGGTGTGCTGACTGCCAGACTGGTGAAAAATGATTCATTGATGTGAGAGTGTGTGGTACAAAGTCCGCTGCAGATAGGACAATGATCCATGGTTCACCGGTCTTCTCGAAGGTGGGCAACTCAGATTCTGCAAATTGTGGCAAGGACTGCCGCACAGTCTCCCAGCAGCTCACTATCTCGACCGTCTGCTTCACATCTGCATCGTATGTAATCAATTGAATATCCTGCAAGAACAATGCAAGGAAGTAACCAAAGAATCCATATCAAATAACCAAACTTAGTTTATAAAATGACTCTCCCAACAAACATCCAGCAAAATAGAGTAATC